TTTTGGTTAGCAAGGAGAATTGTAGTTTAAAAACTGTAAAATCGACTTTGCTAACCGGACCGCTCCTCTGTGGCGAAATCGGTAAAAGCACGTCAGGAGGACGCATATTTTCTATGAAAATTTCTCGAACATGCCATTAATTGTCGTTAATACTGTTTATTATAGACAGAGCATTTACTTAAATATTTGTATCTACAAAAAGGAACGTATAGGCATAAAAAATGTCTTTATATATATCTGTAAAAAATATATATATTAGAACAATTTTAGGAAAATGTTTGAAAAGTCGAAAACATTTTCCGCGTGTGGCTAAACTCTATACGCAAACACATATCAAAAAATATTTAAAAATTTAAAATTTCAGCGTCGCTTCTCCTTCGTTCGCATGTGTAGTCACATTAACGTAAACATCACTTTAGTCAGATGATGCCCTAAAAGATGACGTTGTCATGGATTTGCATAAAATTCGAGCTCCCAACTAGCGCATTAATGAATTACATCAATCTTAGTATAAAAATAACGAAAAATCAGAAAAAACGGCATTCAATTACTGAAACCTCCTGATGAATGGACTGAACAATTACAAAAAAAAAGATTCATCTACGTAACACTGGAGAAGAGGTGCTGAATATAATAACATCAATCAGCTTAGTGACATCTTTTATATTTGTATTAATAATCTTATCTATCTAACTATCTATATATAAATAAAAATAAAGAACAGTAAGATATATAATCCGGTGTTCTTATTGATATTTTTATTTTTACAAAACAGTGCTCAATGTAAATTTACAGAGCATAAATATTATAAATTAACTGGTTTAAAATATGTTTTTTTTTCGCTACACAGTAATAAACATGATCCAAAAATGGAAGCTAAAAAACTTCAAATTTAATTTTGTAATTAAATTAAAAACATTAGTTCCATTTCATCTTCAAGCGAATATTGAAGTAACTTATTTTCTAAATTTACTGAATTTTAAACGCACACAAAAATACATAATTCGCTGTTTCCAAGGAAACTGAGAAATTCAATCATTCAGACAAGGGGTGGTAGCGTCTTCATTTTAATTAAATTTTGTTGTATCAGTTATTAGTTATATATATATATATATATATATATATATATATATATATATATATATATATATATATATATATAGAAAGAGAGAGAGAGAGAAAGGGAGAGAGAGAGAAAGACTGATAGATGATATTATATGTCAGTATATATATATATTTCAAAGAGGATAAAATCCAGGTACAAGACAGAGCAAGAACATAATATAAAAGGCTGAAACACTAATATTCCTTGGTTATAATTTATTACAGTGGAATCGCAATCAAGATCCAATTCATCAGACTTAAAATGGATGGGTGTTAAATGGTCGACCAGCAGGAGTACGCATTCGTCGACAACAGGGTGGCGGAGGAGTGATGTTTTGGGCTGGGATCCGCGGAAATGAACTAATAGGCCCACACAAAGTACACAAAAGGGCTTAAGCAAAATTCAAATGCATATTGTAGGCGTTTGGAAGATGCCTTCCTGTCCTGGATTGATGAACAACCAATTCAGAAAAGAAGATCGTTGATATTTCAGCAGGATAATGCTCCAGCGCATAGATCAAGAAGCACCACCAATTGGCTATCAGACTATGGGTTCAAAGGGCAAAATTTAATGGCATGGCCTCCAAACAGCCCTGATTTAAATCCAATAGAAAATTTGTGGTCTATAGTCAAGAGGCGGATCAATGCTGAAAACAAGCAATTCACCAGCTTAGAAGACCTGTGGAAAGCAATTGTAAGTGCTTGCCGATCAATCAAATCTTCTGAAATTTAAACATTGACGTCAGCAGTGGACAGACACATAACGGTTTTGAAGAATGGAAGATTTTGTTCGTAGCCGCATTAACAGACTTGTTTTGTTTTGTTTAACATGCTATACATATGTATTATGTAATGTAGGACTTAAAACACACGATGTATTGTCATATGCGCCACAATTCAATTAATAAAATTTAGTATAAAATGTGTTTTTCTTGTTTTAATTTCCTTTTGCATAATGAAAGTGAACACTAAATTAGGGCTTAAGTTCATAAATCATTAAAAAGAAGCACGACAACTTAAATGATTGACAAAATAATAAAATAGTATCAACAACACTTTAGCTTTTATTCTTCAGAATATATTGCTTAACTTGGATATTTTTAGGTAAAAAATAAATTTGCATAATCAAGCAGAACGCACTGCATATATATTCCTTTATTATAATTTTATCGTAACTTGGTTTCTGTGCATTTTAACTGCACTTTGACGGGTGAGAATCGAAAATGGTTATGAACAATCTTGCTTGTAGGCAAGCCGTGTGTGAAACAAGCATTATGGTTTCACTCCGTCACCTATATATATTTTTTCTTCTCAAACAAATAGAAAAAAAGGAAGGATTGTTCATAACCATTTTCGATTCTCATCCGTTGAAGTGCAGTTGAAATGCACTGAAACCAAGTTACATCTTTGTAGTGAGTAAAATGGGTTTGTCTATATGATAAAATTATAATAAATAAATAATTATCGCACTACTATCGCTATCGAGTCCTCTTTTGAATTAATGCTGTGAATGTTGGAATTTATATATTACTTTCGTTTTCATCGGATATCGGATATATATATATATATATATATATATATATATATATATATATATATTAATATTTCACCCAAGAAAGGCGGGAAGCCACTAGCACGCAAGGGGTTACAGAGAGTTGTAGTGAGAGCAAATAGGAGTAAAAGAGGAAAGGATGAAGAGAAGGATAGGGGATAGATCAAGGCATCTGGAGACGTCGATTGACATTACATTTGAATAGTTGGAGATTATAGCTATCAGGGAAACAGGAAAAAGGGGGAGTTCCACAAGCGAGAGGTGCGAGACATGAAGCTATTGGAGTAGAAGTAACGGCTACATTTAACAGTTTCGACAGTGAAAGGGTGAGAGTGAGATGCCAGCCTAGTTGAACACTTAAATTCATGAAGTCTGGGAACCAGCGAAAGCAGCTCATCGGAGCAGTTACCGTGAAAGTATTTGTAAAAAAGACAGAGGGAGGCGACGCACATCTGTGAGAGAGTGAGTGCAGACGAGATGCCAGATTAGGGCCAATTACATTGCATATCCGTCTCTGGATTTTATCAAAGACCTTGAGACAAACAGAAGGAGCTCCAGACCATATATGGCAGCAATACTCCATGCAAGGGCGAATGGTTGATTTGTAGATTTGAAGGATCGACACCGGCGAGAAAAATTTCCTGGCACGGCACAGGGAGCCAACTTTCCTTGCGGTGGACGAAGCAATTGACTCAATAAATATCCATTTACTGTAGTAAAAAATAGAGCTGTATTTAGTAAAAAACATCGCGCGTTACACAAGTATATACGGTAATTTTCCCCATTGCACGATTATTCAAAGTCACACATATCTTTGAATGGGCACGCTTATTTTATAAGCTGAAAAATTCCCACCGGATTGACTATTTCAGACGATACTTGTATTTGATACAAAAGAGTAACCACCTTCGGTATCCAATCTTTGAAATGTTAATTATAGAGACACCCTTTGTTTTAATATCTCATTACTGTGTTTAGGACGTTCGTTTTCTGACCATGACACCCAAGTTGGAATTTGTGGATTTGTCAGCAAAGTGATTTCTTGATGTTATTGGTCTGAAGGAGGCGATCTCATCTCTTTGGAAAGTTGGATAGACCCAAACCTGTGAATGAAATTGAGTAGACAGAACCATTGGGGAGGCGTCGATGGTTGTGCTAGCACGAAGTCACAAGTCATTGTGACCGAGGGTATGAGCGTGCTGGCCTTGTTCAGACTGTTGAACACGCTACATAACGCGTTCTATCCCAGAAACTGTAATTAAAGTCCGCTCAGAATAATTGCAGTATACACCACAAAATCAAATGCGTCTGAGTAGGAGTCTGCAACAGGGATTGGTTAGCTGCCCTAGTAGACGGGATAGCCATCCATTCATCCATTTTATATTATACGCCATTGCCTTTTTTCCCCTCATTAAAATGCTTTTTTCTCTATTTTCTTTTCTTTCTTTCGTTCTCATAATTTATCTTTGCTATCTCGATCCTCGGTCTTTCATTTTAATTCCTTTTTATTTTTATTTTTTTCTATAATTTCTATCCTCTGACTTTAGCCATATTTCTCCACCCAACAGTCGTTCGCTCTTTTGATTTCTTTTAATCTGTTGCTTTGGTTTTTGCTGAGTTTTCTCCCCTTGAGCCTTTCTCGCTATCTTAGTCTTATTTTTCTTTATCGTTATCTTTTTTTCGTTTTCTTTATGGATATTTTACTCTCTCCTGTTAATTCTTGTTTTCTTTTCTCACTCTTTCGTCACTCTTCCTACCACTATTTTTTTCTCTCTCTCTCTTTTCTCCCTCATCTCCCATTTACTCCCCTTCCTTATCTTTCATTCCTATGATTTTTAAAAAAAATATATCTTCTACTCTAATATTATCTTTAATCTTGCCTTTATCTTTCTTTTTCTTTCTTTTTTCTTTTTCTTTCTTTCTTTCTTTTCTTTCTTTCTTTCTTTCTTTTAGTTCTCTCTCTTCCATTTTTCCTTCTCTTCTTTTTCCATTAAGTTTACGTCTCTTTCCTTCTCTCTCTATTTCTTTGTCCTGTTTTCTCGCTCCTTCTTTCCGTCTTACTCTTACCGTCCTCTTCTACGGCTATTTCCTTTCATAAGTCTCCGTTTTCGATTCACCTTACTCTCCTATTTCAGAGCTTTTTTTTACGTCAATATTATTTTTTCTGTCACCTCAACGTTGATCTCTTCCCAACTCTCTCTCTCTCTCTCTGTCCTTACTCTCCATTCTATCTGTTCATCTCTTCATCAACTACTTGCACTTTCCATTCCACCTCCGCTCTTGTTTTCTCCGCGTCTGAATTTGTAGCAAAAAGTAGTAGGAGCAGTGTGAATAGCCGCAGTAGTTACAGCGATGAGGACAGACACGATCGGGTCTCTCCCCGCGAATCCAAACGTCTGTCGCTTAGCAACCGTATTTTTTCTCTGATTTCGATACGATATAACGAGAGAGGCGGAGGCACAGGGAGAGGAAGAGGAAGAGGAAGAATTGTTTCATTTGAGCGAGCGAGCGAAAGAGAGAGAGAGAGAGAGAGAGAGAGAGAGAGAGAGAGAGGAGAGAGAGAGAAGGAGAGAGAGAGAAGGAGATAAAGAGAGAGAGAGAGAGAGAGAGAGAGAGAGAGAGAGAGAGAGAGAGAGAGAGGCGGACGGAATTGGAGTCCCGCGATTTCTCTTCCTATTTCTTGGATTTCGCCCGCCGAACGCACTTTTGCGCGCGAGTCTGCGTCGTGTGGTGTGCCAGGCTCTTCAGGGCGAATCTACCAACTACTATCGCCAACGACCTATCAAGCAGAGGATTTTAAAAAAGAAGAAGTAGAAGAAGTAGAAGAAGAAGAAAGGGCTACAAGAAACAGATGAAAGGCTTTATTTTCTTTTTTTGTCTCCATCTGGTCTTCGAAATAACGGAACATCAAAATCCTCTTTAAAAGCCCCGCCAAAAAAAAACAAAAAACAAAAACAAAACGAAAAAAAACAATAACAGCCCATCGATATATAAGTTCGATTGACATCTCTCGTTATTCATTCTCCATCTTTTTGCTATAATTATTAATTTGATTATTGACGTCAAAATATGTTATATTGGCTATTGCTGTCATATATAACATTAAATAAAAAAATAGAGAGAAAGGGGAGAGATTGAAACGAGAAATAGAAAAAAAAATGCTCATTTTAATGTTGCAGAAAGCATTTGACCGTAACAATAACAACAGATGGTTGATAATGCATTAGCTCTGACCTAATCAAAAAATAATTAATTTATGAATATAAAAACGGATAACATTCATAGCCAACTTTTAAAACAAGAAAAGCAACAAACAAGTGGTCTTAACAGTGTTTTCATAGTAATTATATAATTTATATTTTGTAACCTACAGAGAAAGAATTGTTTTGTAAACAAAGCAGAGTCACGAACGCAAAGATAAAATAACTGTTTTATTGTGTCCTTTGGTTTTGGGAAAGTCAGGCTTTAAAAGGTGGTCCCTTAAGAGGGAGAGAAAGAAAGAAAGAGAGAGTGAGAGAAGAAGAAGAAGAAGAAGAAGAAGAAGAAGAAGAAGAAGAAGAAGAAGAAGAAATCCTGGAACTTGTCGCCTCTGAGAGGGTCGATAAATGACTGAAGCAGACGAGAAAGGAGGTGAACAGGTGTCTTAATTTTACAGGTAGAACAGATTGATCGGAACAGCTGGTGAGGATTTGAAGATTGAAACGCATATTTAAAAAAGCGAATAACAAAACAAAACAACAAAACAATACTGAGGACATGAGGATATAAAGATAATATTCAACTGATTAGGAACGATATTGACATATTTAGTCAATATATATTAAAGTAAACACATACACACTCTTATTGCAACAAAACGTGAATAAACATAAAAGGGCGTTTATTTATTAAATTTTATTACAGTGGAAGAGCTGGAAACAGTTTACATGATAAACGGACTTGATAGATATAAATATAAATATATATACATATATATATATAGATTTACAAATAAACTATTTTTCAGTATATATTTATGTTAAAAACAAATGAAAAAGAGGACACAGGGAATACAGAAGAGGAAAAAATAGTTGAAAAAGAAAGGAAAAAAAAGAAAGAAACATCGATCGAGTGAATTGTTTTTATAGAACTATTTGGGGAAATAAAGAAAAGTAAAAAAAAAAAGCGAAAAGAAAAGAAAGAAAAGAAAAGAGAACATTAAAAAAAAAAAAAGGGAAAAGAGAAAGACAAAATAAAGAGGCACACAAAAAACGCAAAGAAAACCAGACGACAACTTATTAAACCAGAAATATGAAGGACTTTCTGATTTAATTTCCGGTGCACAGGCTGAAGCAACCAGTAGAAATTCTTTCGGCACTAACATTATTCTTTCATTTATTATTTGATTATATTTTATGAAATTACTTTTCGAGATGAGATTTTCTTTGAGACAACACTTTTAAAACAGTCTGAAGATTATACGATTTTTTTCTTAATGAACTGTCCGTGCATGAACTCTAAACTCCACCTTAAATCTCACAAAGGACAACAACAGGTCAGAAGGAACCATCAACTAATCTGACGTGTGGTAAGTAAAACACAAAATATATCCTAACATTTCATTTTCGCCATTCTTTTTTTTTTTTTTTTTGTTACTTATCTCCGTAAAATGTTTTTCTTAACCGCGTTACGAATTAACGAAAATAATTATTGTAGTAACACAGGAATATTCTTTACAGGTACTTACTAAGTCTGGTACAATGAGACTAAGTGAAACACTCTCCTGCTACAAAATAGTAATGACTTGTATAACTAATTCGCTATTAAGCACCGAGAGGCACTCAAGAACGATCTTTATATTACAATTATCCGATTTCTGTATGTGGGTGTCATTGATGGAGCGTTACCCACCAAAACAACAAAAACAGCACAGCGTATCGAGATTTTTAATAGTACAATACCATAATTCTTTATTTGCCGTGTACCCTTAGGACATAGACGACCATGGCTCTCCACATCCTCCTGTCCCCTGTAGCTCTTAATAAATCTTGTCTTTCTGTTATTTCTCCTAAATCGTGTTCTGCCATCCATTTACTCAAGCTCACTAAGTTATGCGTTGTTTTCTTCTGTCCCTCTTGTCCTCAATCTGCCCTCTGCTTTAATTTGTAGACTAAAACAATTTCCAGTTTGTTTTGAAAGTTAATTATAATGGTGAAGGGTCCGCATTCGCCCTCATCCCAGTGATAATGGTCCGATATTTCTGTTTAGTTATGTTTATATTACAAAAAGCTTAAAAAATAATCAAAACATCTCCCAAATTCCTCTCAAAACACATAAACATTGAAAAAGAAGACAAAAAGAAAAGATTACTAATAGCTGCATAAAATAATACTAACTATATATATATATATATATATATATATATATATATATATATATATGAAGGGTGTTTCATTAAGACGGATTATATATAAGGGTGTTTCATTAAGACGGATCAAAGTCAGCAGTAAATAAATCAGTGTTATTGGTGAAAATTTATTTATTTCTCCATTGGATCATGTAATTTAAGTCATAACAATTGTGTATGAAAAATAATAACGACAAATCTGAAAGAAAAAGAAAAAAATCATTTGACGCTTAAACTTAATTCACATTTAAAATCGGGCCAGGTTATTGGAACATCCTTTATATATATATAGGATTTTCTATTTGGGCAGCAAACTCTTGTTATGCAAGTTTCATTAAAAACGACTGACATGGTACTGTGGTTAAGTTTTTCTAAAAATAATAGAAGTATTATTAATAAAAAAAAGAAAAAGCTAATACTCAATAATATCAACTATGAACACAGCCACATTGTACTGACCATATTTGGAAAATAAAACATTCCTATGACCCTAGATACATACATAAAACAATCCATTCATTCAGTTAAAAGTAAGAATAAAATTCATCCTTGATAATGGATAAAAGTATAGCCGAAATCGCTCGACATATAAAACATTTGGACAATTTTTATATAATTTAGGTCCAGAAAAGAAAAAAATTATAAGAACAAATGAAAAATTCTAGAAAAAACTTAACCACAATACCTTGTCAAGCGTTTTTAATGAAACTTGCATATATATATATATATATATATATATATATATATATATATATATATATATATATATATATATACACACACTTGGATTGAGGAATCGGAGAGCCGAGTTCGAATTCCAGTCGAATCCATTACATTCACTTACGTGCTAATACCCTTGGGAAATATATTAATCCTCTTCTTCTCTCTCCAGCTATGGGTAAATAGCAGGGTAGTGAAGAGAATGGGTTCTATAACCTTGGATGGCAACTGGTCTAGAAGGACAACAACTCTAAATTCAAAACCTGTGGAGAGTCATTTGGGGACCTCTTGGCACGTAGTGCACCAGATCTCTGTATTCGGCCCTTCAAAAAATGAGGATGGTTCTGCACAAAGCCTTCACCCCTATAATCAAATCACATGTGCTGGTGTCTGGGCTGTCGGTTCCTAGGAACTGAGCTGCTTGACCCTCATACGCCGAATACGACGGGACAGTCGAATATATATTGATATTGTCTTGAAATAAAATTTATTTACATTCGGACTAAAGTTATCAATTTTTTTTTAACTGTTGTTTAGTTATTGCTTGTCCTTTTCCCACTGTGTTTGTATCTGTACTAACAGGTTCAGTTTTTGCTACGGGGTAGATTAAAGAAATTCCCTGAAAGTTACCCAGACCGATAGGCAACTGAAGAATGCCTGTCGAAACGTTGTGATAACGGCAACAAAAATGCAGACATTAATCCGAATATATATAATAAAAATAATGGTAACATAAATAAAATGAAACATCTACTTACAGAGTAAGTCCGCTTATTTATTTATTTATTATTAGAAAATAATTCTAGTATGAAAAAACGAAAACCATATCTTAAATGATATGTGTATGCATTAGTGCTTAAAATGGAATCGGCAGGCCGAGTTCAAATTCCAGTCGCATCTCTTGCTTTCACTTCACATTAATGAAAACACATATCTTTACTTCCTAGCTATAAGTAAAATAGCAATCTTCTACTGAGCGCGATATCCTTGGCTGTTAGCCAGCCTAGAACAACAACAACCCCGAATTTAAACGAGAAGAAAATGCAGTGGGGTATCAATTCACTATATTTCCCAAGAGATCATAGTAATTCACAGATCTTAAAGAAAAGAAAGCTGTGGAGAGAAATGACTGCTTACATACTGAATGTTATTTAAAAAGTAAATGAAGTTAGGAAGGTATTTTTAAAGATTTCGAATAGAGTATATCATATTTACAGGTGCATGAAGGACACCTCGGGGCCGTGTAATGGTTAGCAAGCTTGTATCGCTAAAAGAATTACGACTGAATAGTGAGTTCGATCCTCACTGGGTGTCCTCTGTTTTCGGCCTTGTGCACATCTAAGCTACGCTTGGAAAATCACTATCCACAGGTGAATGAACAAGATATGTTTATTATACAAAAAATTTATGCTATAAGACCAGAAGAAACAAGAAAATAACATATTATAATAATAGACCTTTAACATTTTTAAAGCAGAAATGTACTTATTTTTTATAATACATTTGTAATCAATACACTTGTAATCAATACATTTCTAGAGTTAGCTGTATGGTGAGTGTATATCACTATTCGTAAAGCGAACTGAGGTTCTGTTTAATGAATCGGTAACACTTGCCCCACGTTTATCTCGTAAAAAGAAAAACATTGATTTTAAATCAACACACAAAAAGTCATTCTTCCCTTTCCTGGCAATTGAAGCAGTCATCAAAATCTCGACACGTTATGGGTTTCCCGTGTACTTAATAGCAGAAATGTGGTTCTACAGAAGGATGTCGAAAATACCATGAAGTGAACACATGAGCAACGATGAAGCTTTAGAGAAAATGGACACAAAAGGGAAACATACATAGAACCAGAAAGAGACTGTTGAAATACCTAGGGCACATAATGAAGAAAGAAAGCTTGGAGAATTTGACACTCACAGGATATATTGAAGGCAAAGGGTACTGGTGAAAGCACTGAATCTTACCTATCAAGTTTGCCTAAATGGTTGGTAGAACAGGGATTAGGAGAGAAAATAAAAAGACAAGCTTTACTAAGAGCTATGTACTAAGAGCTACGAAGGGCAGGAAGTTGTGGAGAGCCATGAACGTCCACGCCCTGAAGAGAAACGGCACTCAGGAGGCGATTTAATTTTCAGTTCAAACCAGATTCTACGAATTCAGGATCGAGAGTAGAATAGTGTAATTATTAAGGGATTTTTCAGTGCGCCCAGGTTAACTACCAAATGGGACACATGGTCGAGGTTTAAGTGGTAAAATTGCTCAAGCCTACTCACCACTTCGCTCTTTTGGAGATGCCTCAGGCGTCGAGTAATGACCCAAGACCCATCCCAGAGGAAAGGTACTGCATGGTGAGGGCCTAGACACTCTCCTGCCGTCCGGCCATATTAGACTTTGCTTGTATGACGGTATTTTTCATTACGCTCACGTCGTTACCGAGGTTTAAAGTGGGTTTACCGGCAATAACGTGTAAAAATTGCTCAAACCTCCTCGACACTTGTCCATTTTAGAGACGTCTCAATCGTCGGTCGGGTAATGAGGTACTGCCCGGGGGATGACCTTCACAAGCCCGGGGACTTGAGCTAAACTTTTTCGACAAAAGTCAGGTAAAAGTATAAATAGGTATTTACCAGAGCGCTCACCTTGCTACCGGGTGTGACAGAAAGTCGAGGTTTAAAATAGATTTGACGGCAATACTGTAGAAAAATTCTCAAGTCCTGTCGGCAATTCCACTTTTGGGGACGTTTCAGGTAATGATCCTAGTCACATCCCGGAGGAGAATTACTGCATGCGGTTGGGGATAGCCACTAGAGCTTGAGATAATACTATTGACAGAGAAATGATCTCTCCTGCCGCCCGGCCGCACTGGTCTCCGCTTGTATGACGGTATTTTTCAGTGCCCCTACCTCGCTACCGAATGTTACTCAAGGTCGAGGTCTAAAGTGGGTTTATCGGCAATACCGTGTAAAAATTGCTCAATTTTCCTCGTCACTTAGACGCCTCAATCGCCGGGTAATGACCTCAGTACACTCACTCACAAGGAAAGGTATTGCCTGGGGGATGCCTCCCTCCACCCGGGACTTGAACTCAATTTTCCCGGCAAAAGTTCGGTAAAGGTATAAGTAGGTATTTACAAGAGCGCTCACCTTGCTACCGGGTGTGATACAAGGTCGAAGTCTAAAGTGGCTTTGACGGCAATATCGTTGAAAAATTGCCCAAAGCCACTTCGGCACTTTCTCTTTTGTGGACACTTTAGGGAGCTGACAATCCAGTCCCATCCCGAAGTAGAGGTACTGTCTTGGAGGGAATCCCCCCCCACTTCCCGGGGCTTAATATTAATTTCAACTTTCCGGGCAAAAACCAAGTAAAAGTCGTGAAGAAACAATCACATTCTTCATTTTAAATTTATGTTGGCATAAGTAAACCAAGAAAGCTCGTTTAAATATCTCGGTTCTACGTGAAATAAATACTTTAAAAACAAACTTTACCACAAGTAAGAATTTGATTCACTTTTGGGAAGATTTTTAAAACGCAACATGCATATAAGCAACGAGCAATTTTTAAGGGAAATGGAAACAAAAAAAAAGTGGGGGCGCTTAAACGTAGTACCAGAAAGACACATAAGGAGGAAAGCCAGCTAGGAAAATTTGACACTCACAGGACATACTGACAGCGAGCTAGACAGAGGGACTTATAGCCATATCACGTTGAAACAGCGGTTCTCATTAGATCACCGAAGTTAAGCAACATCGAACCTGCTCAGTATCTCGATGGGTGACTACTTGAGAATACTAGGTACTGTAAACTTGGATGTACGGGTGGTGCAATGGCTTGAAATTGTTAATCGGAGAGCCGAGTTCCAATTCCAGTTGGGTTCGTTATATTCACTTACGCGTAAGTAGCCTTTGGAAACGCATGAATCCACCTCTTTTCCACTCAGCTATGGGTTAATTACTAGGTCTGGTATCACTAAATCATTATTATCTAAAATCAATCTAAAAATATTTCCTGTCTTTAAATAACCCGAAAAGGGTTGATAAACCATAGAAAACAAATCAATCAAAGACAGAGGGAAACAGTGAATAACTAGTTTATAACGAGCTTATGTAAATGGAACGGGGACTGGGAGAGATAGTAAAAAGACAAAGAACTACAAAGGATAGGAAGTTGAGGTGAGCTATGATCACCCAAGACCTGACGGGCCATGGCACATAGAAGAAGAAGAAGAAGATGATGAAGATTTGATATCTACGCTAGTTTTTTCTGCAAGTTACCAAATGATAAAGATAATAATGTAAATACACAAATACGGTTGAAGATACACTCAGTAAGAAAATATTACCAGTTGAATATAATGCATAAAGATTATACAAATATTTCAAGTTATTAAGTATAAGATTTTAAAACGCCTACTTTCAGCAATATAACAATACAACATGGCCGTTTTATATGAATAAATTAGTAAGAAGTAAGTTCCATTCAGACAGCTTCTTCCCCAAAACTGCTGCTTTGTGGAACAGACTCCCGGCAGGATATTTTCCCAATTGCTACATCGTACTGACTACAATCTTGACCTCTTCAAGTCTAGGGTTAACCAATATCTTTCCTGTACAATCCCATGAATTTCACTTCTTTGGCTTTCATGCACTCATAAAACACCGCATAGCAACCCTCTACCTTGAGTGGCTCTTGGGCCTTGTATTGGGTGAACATTAATATATATATATATATAAAAATTCAGTGAAACCAAATTAACTTCCTTGCAGTGCCTCAAAATTCGAAGGCATTCACAAAATTAAAAAAAAATCACTAACTTTACTAAGCGTCGTGATTTTTAAAAGTTTTAATTACAATATTAATTTACTTAACATCTGTTCGTTTTATACGCATATATTCCACACCAGAATGCTTTCTCGGGGCCATAGAAAGTTTCGGACTTCCAACTTTCTCTCCCATGGGCCCAGACGAGAGCGATCATTTCTCGACGAGTATTCTGGTATAGCTTACGCATGATTGCAAGAATTGTAACATTATTAGTGCCGACACAAATAATAATAATAATAAATAAATAAATAAATAGGTATTTACTATGTCTCCACACTAAGACGAGTTGTGACACAAGGTTAGTTTTTAAGGTGGGGACCCGAGCACGTACACCCGGGCTAGGAACAAAAATTGCCTGCAGTCACAGCAACCGTGGGTTGCGCTAGCCTCAGTGCGTGCACCGAACCCTTTCTCTAGTGCAATGAGAGGGCGCGACCTCGGGCAGCTGTTCCCCAGGGCTGTGCACCTCTCAGTATAATTTTCCTCAGTTGCGATTGTCCTTTGACCGAGTCGCCCTGAGCGCACTCTACCTAAAGACAGAGACGCAACTGAGAGATGATAAATAGATGTGTTGCAAACTACTCGAGAGAGCAGTTTATACACTAAAATATCTTTCTAAGCGTAGCTTAGATGTGGCACAAGGCCGAAAGTATGGGATGCCCAGTGAGGATCAAACTCACTACTCAGTCGTAATCTTTCTAGTAAGACAAGCTTGCTAACCATTACATCACTCCGAGGTGCCCTAAAATAAAAAAAAATGATAACTAGGCAATAGAATATAACATTTTAAAACGCGTACTTTCAATAGTTTTAACCCATAAAAATTTCACGGTTTTCCTATTTGAATTTTCTGAAGAATTTTAAGTCTTCAGTTAATGATTGAATAAGCTCATGGCGAGTTCTACAACAATAAAATATCCATAGAAATTCCTCTATCGCATTGTTAAATATTTGAGCTTAACAATTTTAACAAAATATTGCAATAGAAATCATAAATATGATTGCTGCTCGTTATTTTAAGTGGGTAGAAGTGAAAAGATCTTAAATTGACAACTTCTTACATTTCATTGAAACAGCCGTTAAACACCTCTTTATTTATTCATTTATTTTTCTCACTGAAACCAAGTAGTGTCCCCCCTCGTTCCATGCGATCAAAATAGAATAGTCCATTATTTATGTGGTACTAACAGGACATAACGGTCGTGCGAACTAACGAAGAGAGGGACAAATACATTTATAATAGGATACTAGAATAATATAACAATATATACTATAATATATATATATATATATATATATCAGGTGGCCTGAGGATTGCATCTACCATGAAACAGACTGTCGCCTCTAAGTGTTGAATTCTATGTTCACTTTTATATTTACACACGCTATCTCTAATATTGAGCACTTTATCCCATAAATATAGCACATCTTAATATATTTATTTCATATATATATATATATATATATATATATATATATATATATATATATTCTATATATATATATATATATATATAATATATAGAATAATATATAGAATAATAGGATACTAGAATAATATAATAATATGTAGAAAATATATATTCTATATATATATATATATATATATATATATATATAAATAATATATAGAAAAATATAGAATAATAGGATACTAGAATAATATAATAATAATAGAAAATATATATATATATACATATATATATATATATAATATATATATATATATATAATAATACATAGAATAATATGTAGAATAATATATATTAGAATAATATAATAATCTATAGAATAATATATATATATATATATATATATGTGTGTGTGTGTGTGTGTGTGTGTGTGTGTGTGGAATAATATAAGAATAATAAATAAAATAATAGAATTTCATTAAAATATCATTAGTTAACCGATAATAGGATGGTTGTCATTAATACATTATCATCACGTCGAGCACAAGTTATCTTGTTTTTGTTGTCTTACCATCAAGACCACAACCACGGTCTTTTTTCGTAGTTTTGAACGCAAATAACAGGAACCCGGTGTCTAATTTATTCATAGATTCATTTTCTACAGCTTATCAGCCCTTTGCAGGTTATTTAATTTTAGATTGTAAGAACTTATTTTTTTTTTAGATAATAATAATTTACTGACACAAGCCATACTAATTAACCCATAGATGCGGAGAATAGGTGGATTCATGAGTTTCCCGCAGGGTATTTGCGCGTAAGTGAATATAATGAACTCAACTGGAATTAGAACTCGGATCTCCGATTAACAATACCGAGTCATTATCAATTACACCACTTGCATATCCAGGCTTACAGCGCCTGGTATTTTCAAGCGGTCACCCATCTAGATACTAACCAGGCTCGACGTTCCTTAACTTCAGTAATCGTACGGGAACTCGGATCTCCGATTAACAATACCGAGTCATTATCAGTTACACCACTCGCACATCCAAGCTGGTATTCCCAAGCGGTCACCCATCTAGTTATTGACCACGCTCGATGTTGCTTTACTCTAGTGATCGTACGGGAACCGATGTTTCAATGTGATGCGGCCGTAAGCCTCTGACGTCTAAAGCAGGAATGAAAAATCGTGTTGGTTACAAAAAAACTTTTAATACTGAAACTTTATTGAAAATATTACACATAAACGACTCATTGGAAAGACTTTCTTTTTATAAAGGTGACATTTGAAGTCAGATTTCGTAATTCACCTTTTGCAGTCAAAGTGTTAAAGACTTATAGGCAGAAACCTATAATTAATTCCGGCTTTTTATAAACCTATAATTAATTCCGGCTTTTTATAAACCTATAATTAATATACGAATTTGTTTTTTAAATAATTAATGCCAAATTCTTTTTAGAAACTTATACCGGATTTTTGTTTTAATTTGTATAATTAATATTGGTAGACATTAAATGCGTTAAGCGAGAGAAACATGTTTTTTTGTAGATGCAAACATGCATAGATACATACACAGACAAGACTGGATCAGTAAGTCAGCAGCCTGATGCGTAGTTATAAACTGGTGTCT